CTCGCTCTCTCTCTCTCTCTCTCTGTCTGACTCTCTCATTTTCTCTCTCTCTCTCTCTCTCTCTCTCTCTCTCTCTCTCTCTCTCTCTCTCTCTCTCTCTCTCTCTCTCTCTCTCTCTCTCTCTCTCTCTCTCTCTCTCTCTCTCTCTCTCTCTCTCTCCTCTCTCTCTCTCTCTCTCTCTCTCTCTCTCTCTCTCTCTCTCTCTCTCTCTCTCTCTCTCTCTCTCTCTCTCTCTCTCTCTCTCTCTCTCTCTCTCTCTCTCTCTCTCTCTCTCTCTCTCTCTCTCTCTCTCTCTCTCTCTCTCTCTCTCTGATGCCCTTGTTGCACGGGCTTCTCTGAGAAATTTTCGGGGAGAAATGGCCGAAGCGAAGCTCTACGTACAGTACGTACATACGCACGCAGATGTGCTTGTGTGTGTGTGTGTGTGTGTGTGTGTGTGTGTGTGTGTGTGTGTGTGTGTGTGTGTGTGTGTGTGTGTGTGTGTGTGCGTTCGTATGTGTTTGTGGATATATTCGTATACCTATGCATGTATGTATGTGTGTGTGTATGTATGTATGTATATGTATGTATGGTATGTATGTATGGGCGTATTTCTGTCAACAGAAACGCGTCATTCTGATAAAGAGAAGAGGAAGTGTTATCTTCGCCCCGAGAGAACCTCAGCATCACTCTAACTGTACGTTTTGAGAGATACGAGTGTTCTTCTATTATGTAATTCTCAGATAATCTTTGATTTATATCTCTCTCTGTTTAACTGTTCCTCTCAGTTACAGGCACGCACACGCATACACAATCACGCAATCACACACACACACACCCGAACACACACACACACACACTCACACATACTCACACACGCAATTACGCAATCACACACACACACACACACACACACTCACACATACTCACACACGCAATTACGCAATCACACACACACACACACACACACACACTCAATCACGCAATTACACACACAATTCCACACTCACACACACAATCATGCAATTACACAAATCCACACCCTCTCACACACACAATCCCAAACACACACACACACATACACACAATCTCCCCCACACCCCCTCCCCCCACACAATCCCAAACACACACACACACACAATCCCCCCCACACAATCCCCCCCCCCCCCCCCACACACAATCACAATCACACTCCTCGTTTCTGTAACAATAAGCCCAACTCCCACAGCCCGAGCGAGCGCTTGATAACGAGGCCAGACGATAACCTTTTATGGGACAGTTACACAGCATAAACTTTTTTATTATAAACCACGGAATCTTACGTAAGGGACACGGGAGAGCGGCCATCTTGAATGAGAGGGGGGGGAGGGGATGGGGGGAGGATGGGGGAGGGTGGATGAGGGAGGAGGGGATGGAGGGATGGGGAGGAGGGTGTGGATGGGGGGGATGGAGAGGGTGGGGAGGAGGGGAGGTAGGGATGGGTGGGGAGGAGGGAAGGGATGGGGAGGAAGGTGGGGATGGGGGGATGGAGAGGGTGGGGTGCTATGTGTGTGTGCTGTTGGTCGTTGTGTGTGTGTTGTGTGTGTGTGTGTGGTGTGTGTGTGTGTGTGTGTGTGGTGTGTGTGTGTGTGTGTGTGGTGTGTGTGTGTGTGTGTGTGTGTGTGTGTGTGTGTGTGTGGTGTGTGTGTGTGTGTGTGGTGTGTGTGTGTGTGTGTGGTGTGTGTGTGTGTGTGTGTGTGTGTGTGTGTGTGTGTGGTGTGTGTGTGTGTGGTGTGTGTGTGTGTGTGTGGTGTGTGTGTGTGTGTGGTGTGTGTGTGTGTGGTGTGTGTGTGTGTGTGTGTGTGTGGTGTGTGTGTGTGTGGTGTGTGTGTGTGTGTGTGTGTGGTGTGTGTGTGTGTGTGTGTGTGTGTGTGTGTGTGTGGTGTGTGTGTGTGTGGTGTGTGTGTGTGTGTGTGGTGTGTGTGTGTGTGTGTGTGGTGTGTGTGTGTGTGTGTGTGTGTGGTGTGTGTGTGTGTGTGTGTGGTGTGTGTGTGTGTGTGTGTGGTGTGTGTGTGTGTGTGTGTGTGGTGTGTGTGTGTGTGTGGTGTGTGTGTGTGTGTGGTGTGTGTGTGTGTGTGTGTGTGTGGTGTGTGTGTGTGTGTGTGGTGTGTGTGTGTGTGTGTGTGTGGTGTGTGTGTGTGTGGTGTGTGTGTGTGTGGTGTGTGTGTGTGTGGTGTGTGTGTGTGTGTGGTGTGTGTGTGTGTGGTGTGTGTGTGTGTGGTGTGTGTGTGTGTGTGGTGTGTGTGTGTGTGGTGTGTGTGTGTGTGTGGTGTGTGTGTGTGTGGTGTGTGTGTGTGTGTGGTGTGTGTGTGTGTGGTGTGTGTGTGTGTGGTGTGTGTGTGTGTGTGTGGTGTGTGTGTGTGTGTGGTGTGTGTGTGTGTGTGTGTGGTGTGTGTGTGTGTGTGGTGTGTGTGTGTGTGGTGTGTGTGTGTGTGGTGTGTGTGTGTGTGTGTGGTGTGTGTGTGTGTGTGTGGTGTGTGTG